GCTCGTCATATTCCAATATAACTTCATTTAATTGGATGCTTATTTGTTATGCGTATCTACATGTACGCATTTAATTTACTTTTGTTTTCCATCGTATCCTTACGTAATGTTATTTGTATATTATGCGTTTAAGACCTGTTACGTATTTTTGTTTTTTTTTTGTCATCGTATAATTCTTCAAAAATTATCACTAAGTGATGTTTCAAAATCCAATAATATTTTATTTCTTCTTGTTCGGATTGTACGTTAATAACTGCATTTTCCATTTAGGAGGATTGCAACAAACGTCAGCCTGCATAACTAAAAAAAAAAGATAAAATAACATTTGCAAAATTGATTTTTATCAGAATCATACTGTAGAAATCTTCAAAAGTTTCGAATGAAAAAAATGCTCAGAACGCTATCTAGCAACTTCGTATTTTTCATATAATTCTCCAACTTTACAGTTAACAACGCTGAAGCGGAATTAGCCATCACACTATATACACACACAACACACAACTGCACCTATTGAAATAAATAGAGAATGCTACTGTGGCAAAAATAATTTGGAATTCGTTGTGGTGGCTGACTGGCTGGTCATAATTTGAGTGCCAGAGGATCTAAATTAATCAAGTGCCGATTTGTCGAGCTGCTGGTTGTTGAAGTGTGCTGATGTTGATGATGTTATTTTTGGTGTATGTCGATTTTTGTTGGTGTATGATATTAATAACACATAATAGCCACAATAACTTATATTAATTAATTAATTAATTAATTAATTAACTTAATTATTTTTTCAATCTGATTTTAATTGATTTAATTTTGCTGGATGGATGTCGTTGACCAGTTGAAAAGCTTATTGTATTTCTAAATCAATGTCCTGTATAGTATAACGTTTAATATTTCAAGTTTAATTTACCTAGTGCTTGTCAGTCTGTTACTAATTGAATTGCTACTTTGTTTGAGGTCCTGTTACAAATTTCTAACCAATGAAAAAGTGAATTTAAAAGAAACTGTTATCGATCCATTTGGATTTCATTCACGTAAAAAAATGTTTTGTCGCGTTGATGTGTTTATTCAGTTTATTAGTATCATTCATATCATATTCATAAAACTTTAAAAAACAATCAGATATCAGACTGCTAAAGACATAATTTAATTTAAACAGGTATTAATTTAATTTAATTAATTGGACAGATTTATGTGAAAAACATATTGTTCAGGTTCATTTGTTACTTAAAAAAGTAATGAAAAAATTGCAAAATAAACAAGCTTTAAAATTTGATTGAAATTTAAAAGAAAAACAAATAAATTTTCTATGATGAAAATGTAAAACTATTAAATTTAAAACAATTAATTAAATAAAGAAAATAATTTCAGAGACAATTTCTCTAAAAATCAAAAGCACTCACATTCGGTGTATGCTGAATATTTATCGCCGGCCTAGATAGCTCAGTTGGGAGAGCGTTAGACTGAAGATCTAAAGGTCCCCGGTTCAATCCCGGGTCTGGGCAAAACACCCACCATCCCCGGTGGCCGGTATTTTTATACTTTTAAGTTAAATTTTTTTTATTCGTCATTTTTTCCTCATACTTTTCTATTTGAATTTCCAATTTGCACTCTCTAAGATTAGGCATGATACTCACACATAAGCATTGTATCATTTCCGGCTGTTACCATCACCATTCCATCAACATAAATAAAGCGTAATGTCTCGATATAATATCGAAAATGATCATTTAGAACAAAATGCACGGTTTTTTTTCTAATTCACAAAGATACCTAGACTGATGTCTACGTCAGAACTTTCCCGTTTAAATAATATTCTCCCTGTCAATAAAATTAACTCTGAACAGGGGCAATACGTTACATTAGTGATTATCAAAAATCAACCTTTTTCAACTGTCATTGTTTAATGTTAACTACAAAAAATGATCTACATAAGTTGATTAATGACATGGACAATTGTGTGCCTACACATTTGCATGCATTAATGTCTGCGAACATTATACATCGGATTGGAAGAACGCCCTATTACGAAATTATGGAACCAGACAGACAGACAAGACCAGCAAGCTGCAGCAACAAGAATAAGTAAATGGAACGTAATTCTTAACCAAGGATTAGTAAATGGAAATTGATTTTTAACCAAATCTGGAAGATTAGAAACTGAAGCACTTTTCCAATTTGAACCTAACCTACATACATATTGTGTTCTTTTTACTCTCTGCCTTCACAACTAAATATTTTAAAAAAATTTTATTCGGATTTTTCTTGTTTTTTCTTTTGACAATTTCGATACCTCTTACAAAAACTAAAAATACAACTTGTTAATAGAAGAACTAATATCTTAAATATGACAAACCTGTTGAGGCTACAAAATTAAAAAGAACCGGCCACCGGGGATGGTGGGTGTTTTGCCCAGACCCGGGATTGAACCGGGGACCTTTAGATCTTCAGTCTAACGCTCTCCCAACTGAGCTATCTAGGCCGGTGAGTGTGTTACCTTTTCATCGGTTACCGCCAGAAGATCCCATTAGATTCAACATGGCTGCAGAGTTCAATGTTTATTAAACCAAACATAAAAACCTTAATAAACAACATAATAAACTCTAATAAAGCCAATCATTTATTTCTACGAATTATACACACACGTACATACACATACATACATACACACATACGTACATACACATACATACACACATATACATACATGTGATATACAGTGTATATATAAATATATTATACACACCACATGCTAACCATTATAACACTGTTTAGTTAATGGTTAGGCTTGTAACGTTCAATAACCAATCCGATTAAACATCAAAATGAAAAAGAGCGATCCGTGTCGTCATGTGGATGTGACTCGTTTACCGGCCTAGATAGCTCAGTTGGGAGAGCGTTAGACTGAAGATCTAAAGGTCCCCGGTTCAATCCCGGGTCTGGGCAAAACACCCACCATCCCCGGTGGCCGGGTATTTTTTGTCGGCGTGATGTGTGATGCCTAGCGGTCAAGGTCGCCTGGGCTGCTTCGCAGAGCGTGCTGTCACCAAGTTCAAATACGACAAAAAGATCCCCGCCTGTCTCATGCTTCGAGTGTGATGAGTCGTTTAACATTCATTCATTGCGATGTTTGTGAACCTATGAAAAGAATAATTTTTTTATCACTCATGAAAATTTTCAAGCAACTATAATTTAAACTTGATCGATTGAACTTGTTTATATTTTATTTAATGACAAATTTGGATTCTAGCACGAGTATATATATATATATATATATATATATATATATATATATATATATATATATATATATATATATATCTGGACAAAGCAGAATAAAAGAACTTTGCTATATATATCATATGTATCTTATCCTCAGTCCTGAGCATGACATAAAACTGCATCCACGCTACCTTGCGTGCTTTCGAGCAAAAGGCTAGGCCCACCACTTATGACTGGTGGTTGCCGTCAGGATGGGCGTCCGGATAAAAAAACTTTCCCCTAAATATTCTATGCAATCATCAACAAAAACAACGGCCCCTAGTCCCCAGAAGACCTAAAGGGGTGCTAAGAATCCCTGGGAAGTATGCAATAGCGGAGGGATGTTGCAGAAAAATTCAGAATGGTTTCTCTATGGTAAATGAAATGAACACAACTGATCGTCCAATTTGGCGCAAAAAATTGATGGCAAAGAAAACAACGTCCTACCTCGGGAAACCGGGTCTCAAGACGCTAAACGAAGATAGATAGATAATATGTTATATCCTGGCACCTCAATTTACCGTTAAGATTTTTGATCATTGGCACCAATTTCAATGAATGATGAATGAAAAAGCTAACGAAGAGATCATGGCAAATTATAGTTTTATAATTCCAGAAACTTGGTATTAGTAGAAGTATCAGTAGTAGTGGTAGTTGTATTATTATTATTTATAGTAGTAGTAGTAGTATTAATAATAAAACTTATATAAGCTTTCTTGCTCTTTTTAAATATTTAAATACAAAGATTAAATAAAGTTTTCTCGACACTTTATTTTCAAAAATTAAAACCAAAATAAAAAAATAAATGAATAAAAATATGTATATTTATAAAATATTTAGTCTATGACTGAATAAAATCAACATATTGCAAAGAGCGTTTCATTAAAACGAAATAAAATCACAGCAAATGATGCGAGAAATGAAACAAACCCCACCCTCCAAACATCATCTGACTACAGTTTGGTGGAATATACATAGAGTAGTAACAATTGTAAAGGTCTTCAGAGATAGAAGTCACGTAACAGCAAATTAAAGACACACACCACAACCTTATCCATTTGTATACCTTCTTCACGAATAAAATCAAATAATAACAATGATAATAATAATAAATTGAAATAGGACCTAAGGCATGTGTAAAGATTGCGATGCAAATTTGATATATCCAAAATTAATTTAACTTTTAAAAAAAATCCGGAAAAATTTTTTATACTAAATAAAGTACACTTGAAGCGAGTTCAATTTTAAAATGTTTGTAGAGTTTTTAACATAGAATGGACTGGTAGCTATATACAACACTCAATAAACAGACAAATAAATAAATTCATTTGATGAAAAATAAAACCATTTCAAATTAAAAAGCGTATTTGAGTTAACAATGTTTTGAGTAGACGAAATGAAAAGAATAAATTATTTCGAATTAAGATGAAAAATAGAGAAAAATAAATGATTGTAACCTGCGGCTGTCAACAGTTAGAACGTTGCTATAATGGCTGATAATTGTTAACATTAAAAACGATTAATCTAGTGATTAATTTATTAAATATTAAAAAAACTAAGTAAAAAACTTGAGTATCTTAAATGTATGATGACATTATTTTCATAACTCTCTTTATCATAGTTAAATTGCCGTTATGTTGGACGAGTAGTGAAACAAAATATAAACTGAGATGGCTAGTCTCGTAAACCAGATTTCATCCAATGCATTCAGTAACAATCAATTCAATATGTATTGTAGCGTTGCACATTTAATGGTCTAAAATGAAGTAAATAATGTGAAAAAATATGCAAACAAAATGTGTAACATAATCGACATCTTTGATGTCAGCTCTGATGCTAAATGATACGTTAAATAAAAAATTCAGTTGACAGGCGATTTCGATATTGCCTAGCCTTATTCTGTATCTTTCGGGCTCAGCTGTTGTTTGAATAAACGAGTAAAAGATACAAAATAAAATATAGATGACACCAACCAAGGTCGATAACATAGGTTAACAAAGAAGTACCCAGCCATTGCTGTTTGTGAATTTTAAAATAATAGCTACCATCCTAAATTTAAAATAACTTATTATGCAAAGAGCCTTGAAGTATTTGCGTACGTTAATATAAAGGTTTACTTTACTTTAAAAGTTCGCTTTTCGATAATAATTGTTATAGAAATGATTGTCTAAATGAAGCGTACAACGATAAACAATAATGTAATGTAAGAAATAAGTTGTCTACCCGATTGCAATCATTGTTAAAAACCATAAATGAAATATGAAACTTGAAGTTTTAAAAATTTCATAAATCTTAAAAGCAAAATAGGCTGCTATCAAGAGTGGAGAGAAGCAATGAATGAATGAGATTTTCATCCGCCTGGCTGACTGTTTACAATGGATAATATCATGAAAACGGAGTATCAATTGTGCATACAATAACATTTTTAACATTAAATTATGGCAAAGAGCCAATTTAATAAAAACAAATTATCTATTCGGCTAAATGAAACATGTAGAAATTAAATAATAAATTCTCCATGAAACGTAACGATTCGGTGTTAGGAGCATAAACTGACAACGACGATAGCACGGAGAACATCTGCGACTGGAACTGCCATTATAAGGCCGTTTGAAGCATGAACAATAAATAATTCAACAAAATAAAACTTTGACCAGACGTTTGAATGACAAGTATATATATATCATTTTATGTTCTAAAACAAAACTACATATATTTACAAACGAACAAACGAATGAATGATGTATTATATTACAAAAACGCACCTTCTCTCTCTCTCTTTCTCTCTTCCCAGGAGTATTAAAAATTACTGAGCACTGAAATTAGAATGTACAAAACAGCTTTGAAATTAATAGACTTTTTCCACTTAAAAAGTAAGAAGTGAGCGTCGCAATTGTTAATGACAGTTCTAGAACGAACGAATCTGAAGGCGTTTTATGATAGGAATGACTGATAGAAAACAATTGACAACGATTAATAATAATAATAATAAATAATCAAATTAATATTATCAATAAATAGTAATAATAATACACAAGGTTCATAACACAAAAGACCAACAAACTAATGATAGATAATAAGGAGCAAACTTTCTTGTATTGTACAGTTGTACTGTATAAATTAATTGAAGCTAGGCTGTTTTATGGAAAGTTGAATCGGTAGGAGTGTTATGCATTTCAACAAATCTATTATTCATGTCATATTAAACACGAAGATATACATAGAAATTAAATAAAATTTTCAAGAGAGGAACTGAAATTATAAAAGACATCTAAAAAGTGAACAAAAATCAAATTTGATTGTTACTTTGAGTTCAAATTTCAACATAAATGATTAGAAATATGTATTTGAGAGAGATGTTGTTGATGTGGATAGTGAATGATTCTTTTTCAAACTGTTGTTGCCACTGTTGTTGCTACTGTTTTTGCTGTTGTTGTTAGTGACCTGCAACATCATGGGACTAAGAAGGGTAAGTTGTTGCTGTCGTTGTTGTGTTGTTGTTGGTTGCTTGTTGCTTACTGCTGTGTACACACCTGCAAACAACACAACATTCGTTTGCTTACATTCATTTACTTTAATTGCTATTTCTTAATCTACATTACTTGTTCAGTCAGTTACAAATCGAAGTCATTTCAATCAATCATTTAAAAAGTTCATATTGGTAAAAACATGCAAGGCTAAAAATAAACACATCAATTAAGTTACAAAAGAAATTTAACAAAAAATCACCAGATGGTAGAGCAGCAGTGCTGTTTAGAGCCTTGCTCCAGACCTGGTTCATCAGTGCCGCTGATGACGAGTCACTAATTGAGATGGAAAAATGTTTGGCCTTATTGTTGCTGGTGTAGTTTGATAACTTTATCAATGCAAATTTGTTACTGATATCTCCTCTACCATTGTTGAAACTGTTTTCATATCTATTAAAGCTATAATTGTTGTAGTTGTTGTTGTTGGGATAGTTGAGATGTTCATGAGTGAGGTGGTCTTCAGCACCATCTATGTCCTCCCTCACCATGGGCAACGCATCAGCAGCTGCTGTTGCTGCTGCCGTTGTGGCTGCGTCTGTTGTTGTTGTTGCTGCAGTTGATGTGATTAATATAGATGAGGTTGCAATTGTTGATGGTAGGGTGTTTGTTATTGTTGATGTTGTTGAAAGTGCCAGGGAGAGATCAATGTCTGCTGCACCTATTTTAACATTCGTCACCCTCGATAGCGAACTTGTCTCAATGAGTGATGCAGAGTCTGACTGAAGTATTTCCTGTTCCCTGACGAGATTTGTGATTGTCTTCTGGAGGTCGTAGTCACTGAATGCAGAGTCATTATCGTCGGGGTAGTCCTCGTTGTCGTCGTCCGTTGATAGCTGGCTGGATATGTCTGTAACAGGTTAAAAGAAATCATTGATCAGCATTTTAAACCTGAAAAATTATTATAATTCTCCAAATTTTATGATAAAATTAATGTCAACTGAAAAGTAATTTGAGTAAATTACTGTGAAAAAAAACAAAATCACCGATAAAATCATCAACAACAACACTAAAAAGTTAAGAAAAAGCACTAAATCAACATAAAGATACGTTATAAAATCATCATTTTAGAAAAAATTTAACTAAATAAAAAAAGCATCCCTCACTTATTTCATCATCATCCTCAAAATCGCCGCAAGCACCACCACCAGCAGCAGCAGCAGCACTGGCACCATCCTTCTCAGCGCCCACACCTGGAGTTCTGATGCCCATCAACATGGTGCTCATCAACTGCCTCCTCATGTGCTCCTCGTTTGAAATGTTCTCCAACGTCATCAACGTCATCTTGTACTTCTGTTGGTGGCAGATAAGGGCGAGATGAAGGTCTTCTGCATTTTGACGTTCTGCCTACGAGTGTGCGTGTGTGAGAGATTGTGTGCGTCAGTTTTTGTCTGTGACAAAGTATGCACGTGAGTGTGTATGAGAGATTATGTCAATTTGTGTTCGGGTCAGCGTGTGCATGTCTGTATCAGTTTGTGTGAGCGTGCTTGATGTTTAAAAGACTGCATGCAACTTAAAATTAAAATTGCATCTGGATGGCATTCATTTTGAATTAAAGCCAGCCATTAGGGATGAATACTAACATGATCGAAAGTTTATAGCCAAAGTTATATGATCGAAATCATTTGCATAGAAATTTACATCAACAGTTGTGCCGAATGAAATAATTTATAGACAAACTTTCAACTTCTTCTCCAGCTCTTTCTTCAGTTGAAAGAATGGTCTGCAGGTAAATTAGGTGACAGCATCATTAACATACTGACGCAGATGCATTGATGTTAATGTAATATAAATAGTGTTTCAAAACAGGCTACCAAAATAATATTTTTTTTGTCTCTCAGAAATAGCATGCTGGTCTACATTTACAACATCTACAATCAAGTATAAAAAATTGAAATCAGAGCCTTAAGATTAAAAACCAAAACAATAGCAACCAAAAAAAATGAAATAAACATTAGAAAAAATAATATGTAAATGTAAACAAACACAAAATAAGTAAATTACAACAGAAAGTTAATTGATTTGATGAATTGTTGACCATTACAACCAACTTAATTGCTGTGAATTTAGCTCATCCTTCAAATAGAACATGATAGTGTGGAACAAACAGTGAAAATAGTTGCCTTATAAATTATAAATTTTGTAAAAAAAAAGATGTCTGAAAAAAAATAATATATAAAATGTTTTAACAGTAAAAATGCTGAATTTGAATAAAATAATGTCAAATAAGGTGGAATGAAACTAAATTGGAAGACAAAAGATGCATGCCTGGTGAGGCTGATGGCACTTGAATGTTGTTCCAACTCCTCTGTCAGCTGCCTCTCCAAGACAAACAACCTCCCCGTCATCTTGCTGTGTTCCTCGTCCTCCTTCGACATTTCCACCTTTCCTTTCGTCAACTGAAGGTCATCCATTTCAATGTAAAGCAAAATTAAATTGTAACAACGTATAAATAATAAATAAGTTTTGTTCTTGCTAATATTATATTGTATAGTTAATCATCATGCCAGCAAAAAATTAATAAGGCTTCATTGAGAATGAAATTGTTGGCTGTTTCTGACCTGAATGTTGGCGTTGTTGAGTTCATCGAGTAACACAACGTCCAACTTGTTGCCATGTTGTGACAGCAACTTCTCCAGCTGCACAACTTTCTTTTTGGATAGCTCACAGTGGGTTTGTATGTTGTGGTAGTTTATTGTGGACTTGTGCAAATTGCTTTTCAACTGTTGGGTTGAAGTTACAATATGATTCGTGACGTGATGAATAAAATTCACCAAAATGTTCAAACAAATTTTTAAACAAATTGAAATCTTTCAAACTCCTCACCAGAAAAATTGCCAAGAGCCATTGATAAACTTAAATATCATCTAATCTAATCTTAATTACATCCACTTTTCAGTTGGGCAAATAATTTCTATAACAGTACAATTAACTTTTGCAGTGTTTATCAGAAACTGAACGGATTAAAATAATAAATGGAGAACAACCTTCTCAATGTCTTGCAATGTGATGTAATACTTCTTGGCCATTTGGACATTCCTCCTGCCCATGGACTTGTACATCTTGGTCACTGCGTGCTTTGCCTTTCGTTTGTTCATTTCAAATTTTTCACGAGCAGCCTTTAAGAAGTCATTTGAAATATTGTCTAATACATATCCAACAAATATGAATATTTAAAGTGGAAATGTCAGTTGAAATATTGTTGAATACATATACATAAATATGCCATGAATATTTAAAGGGAATACATAAATAAGTCATTAATATTTAAAGTGGAATACATAAATGAGTCAAGAATATTTAAAGTGGAAATATTGTTTATGAATAACCAACAGACACATCTAGAATATTCCAAGTTATGAAATGTTCTCTAACAATTAATCAACAAACACTTTCTAAAATTCTCAACAAGAGGCAAGAACGTTTAAATGACGATTGATTAATTAATATTTAGGATAAAATTGACATATACAGACCTGCAGTTCATTGCCTAGTTTGTTTATTGTATCAGAACAAGTGTTCAGATTGTCCAGTTCCTCCTTAAAAATGAGAATTGGTAATTTAAAAACAACTCTCTTCATATAAAGTTAAGTTATAAGTAAGACCAGCAAATTCATTATTTTTGTGGAAAAAATTCAAAAAAATTGAAATTAGGATAAATAAATTAATTTACTAAATGAATGAATGTTGCACAAATAAAACCTAGAATCATTATGTAACCTTAATTCTTGGGTCCAAAGTATCACTGTCATCATCATAACTGAATTCACTGTCAACATCCATGGTAAAATTAATAATGAGAAGTCTGGTTTGTTTTGTGCTAAATATGAAGAATTTTGTATCTCTGTAGCAAAAACAAACTTAAAACCTTAAAAATTTAGTAAGAAAAGAATAAAAGACCAAGATCAAAGCAAAGTGTATTACAACAATTCAACAACCATCAAATCAACTCAACAAAACTAACAAGTTAAATTTATTGTAAAAATTATTTTATAATTACTAAAATTATAACAATCAAATTTAATTACACAAATTTACAAATCCAAATGACAAATCAAATCATGAATCAAACAAAACTAAACACCTGACATTTATGAGACTGAACTTAGCCACAATGACCGACCTATATAATTTTATAAGCAATCTTCGATGCCAATTATACACACGTTAAAAAGCTAATTATACACACGTTTAAGAGATAAACGTAAAAGAGAGAGGGTACAGCAAGCCTGCATGCATATGCGATATATGTTATGTTATATGATATATGCTGTTTAAGTAGCAGCTAACAGGTATGCACACATGTACATATATTTATATAGTTATATATTGATGCTATAAAAATATATAATATGTAGTTGTGTGTATTTGATAATCCTATTAATTTCTATTATTTATTAGTAAATTAAATTTTGGTTGGTGTAAATATTGAATAATAATTATTATTTTTCTGCTGTATTTGTAAAAAAACATGCATAATGAACACACAATGCATTTTTTTTAAATCAATAACGATTGTTAACATTTATATTTATAGAAACACAATTCTATTTAAAATTCTAAACCATATTAAGATAATTATTGAGAAATGAATGGCATACATAAAAAATGACATCATCATCATCTTCCACGCCATCATCATCAACTTTGTTTCTCTCTCTCTCTCTTTATCTCTCTGTCTCTCTCTCCCACACAGACATTCATATAGAGACACATAATTACTGTGGGGTTATAATTATTTTGGTTTATGACGAGGAAGTACGGTATCATTTATAGACAATAGGATATTAGGCTATCTGATGTGTTATGCTTGGCCGTTGGGCGTGTGTGATGTTATCGATGGTGGTACATAATTAGTGTGTATTAGCATTATGTATTGTTGAGAGTAAAATTATATATATACACATATAAATATATACCTATATATACATATACATATAAACATACATATATATATATAATGTTAAAACCAAATCATTGACGAATGACACCAAAAGCCAAGCGTTTTACTAAATTTGATTTTATTTGCTGTAACGTCACTCAACCACGTCGGCATTCAACTGGACATTTTTCAACACACAGACGAGCAAAAATATAATTACATAAATATAATTGTGTAATATAATTTTCATGATTATAAGATATTGTTGATACATATATACATGTAAATATATTTTTATAGTTATATATCGATGCTATAAAAATATATAATACTGTAGTTGTGTGTATTTGATAATCCTATTAATTTCTATTATTTATTAGTAAATTAAATTTTGGTTGGTGTAAATATTAAATAATTATTATTATTTTTCTGTTGTATTTGTAAAAAAACATACACAATGAACACATAATGCATTTCTTTAAATTTTTACATTAACATTTATAGAAACACAATTCTATTTAAAATTCTAAACCATATTAAGATAATTATTGAGAAATGAATGACATACATAAAAAATGTCATAGTTAATATGACGATATAATAATACTTAATATAACGATATAATTATATAATATATTAATTTGAAATAATACATAATATAGTACAGAAATGTTTAGTCAAAATCTACTAAATGTAAAAAATGAACTGTTCAAATAATAAAAACATCCATTTCTAATTTAATAGAGTAATTTTCATAATGAGCATATATGTATGTATATATGCAATATTTTGTATAAAGTCGAATTAAAATTAAAAATTGATAATTATACAACCACCCCTCTGTCCCCTTCGTCCGTCTCTCTGTCCCCTCCCTCCACCCGTTTGCCCTCTCCATCCACCTGCTTGCCCTCTCCATCCACCTGCTTGCCCTCTCCATCCACCCGCTTGCCCTCTCCATCAACCTGCTTGCTCTCCCCATCCACCTGCTTGCCCTCTCCATCCACCTGCTTGCCCTCTCCATCCACCTGTCTGTCCCCTCCATCCACCTGTCTGTCCCCTCCATCTACCTGTCTGTTCCCTCCATCTACCTGTCTGCCCTCTCCATCCACCTAATTGTCCTCTCCATCCACCTGCTTGTATTTGTCCTCTCCCTCCCCTTTGACCACTTCTTATTTTTTGACTGGTTTCTTTACAATTTTTATAAAATTATTTTTAAAAATATTTAAATTGTTTAACATTATAAATATATATATACATATACATATAAACGTGTTTGTTTTTCAGGTTTTGAACACCCTGGAAGGCTGTTTTTTTTAGTGGCTGATATATTGTTAGAAAGGTAATTTAATTCTACATCAGTGGTAGAAATCTTTTTTTGAGGCTGCAATTATGAATGGTGAAAAAAAATATTTTTGTGATTTGATGCACAATGAAGTGTGTTTGTTTTTCGGGTTTTGAACACCCTGGAAGGCTGTTTTTTTTAGTGGCTGATATATTGTTAGAAAGGTAATTTAATTCTACATCAGTGGTAGAAATCTTTTTTTAAGGCTGCAATTATGAATGGTGAAAAAAAATATTTTTGTGATTTGATGCACAATGAAGTGTGTTTGTTTTTCGGGTTTTGAACACCCTGGAAGGCTGTTTTTTTTAGTGGCTGATATATTGTTAGAAAGGTAATTTAATTCTACATCAGTGGTAGAAATCTTTTTTTAAGGCTGCAATTATGAATGGTGAAAAAAAATATTTTTGTGATTTGATGCACAATGAAGTGTGTTTGTTTTTCGGGTTTTGAACACCCTGGAAGGCTGTTTTTTTAGTGGCTGATATATTGTTAGAAAGGTAATTTAATTCTACATCAGTGGTAGAAATCTTTTTTTGAGGCCGCAATTATGAATGGTGAAAAAAAATATTTTTGTGATTTGATGCACAATGTAAATGTTTTAGTTTTTCGTGTTTTGAACACCCTGGAAGGCTGTTTTTTTTAGTGGCTGATATATTGTTAGAAAGGTAATTTAATTCTACATCAGTGGTAGAAATCTTTTTTTGAGGCCGCAATTAATAATATTTTTAATCGATTTTTACGTTCAACTTACTGTCAATTTTTTTATGTTGTTCAATACATCATACAATCATTGTTCATACATGCGTTACTTAAATATATAGAATACATACTTTTCATACATTTCAATGATCAGTTAAGGATTTATATAGCTATACAATTATTGGTAACATATATGAACATCTGCTGTGCATTCAGCAGATGGTCCTCTCTTTTTTTCACGATCTCTCCGCGCACATAAAATATAGGTCGGTCATTGTGGCTGGTGGCTAAGTTCAGAATCATCTGACATTTTTATATACGCCTAATTAAAATTAAACAATTGACGAAATACAAAAAAGTCGTATTCGTCATATTTGAGAAAAATAAAGAAATTAATTAATAGTAATACTAACAAAACAAGCCAGATCATGTTAATTAAAAAAATGATTATTTAAGGATAAAATTATAAAAAAAACTAAAACGACCCCTAAGGTTTCACTAATAGAACATGTGTGAATATTTTAAAGTAAAAGAGTTATGCGTAAAGCACAAGCAGTCGATTAAATTCGGTTTTTATCTTACATCACAATTGATCTTGAAAAACAGCTGCACTCCTAAAGACGATTCTACTTTGAAGCGTAATCATGTAATATATAAATTTAAATGCCCTATTGACGACTGTGCGCGTCAACAACATTCGTATATTCTTGTTACGACCACCTCACTATCAAGACGTCTCACAATGCATACACAAAGAGGAGTCATCAAACTCACTTGCAATCAACACATGCAACTCCAATAACCCTCCAAATTATTGACAACAACCCAAAATTATTTATCAAAACACGAACATAATACATCTAAAAATTGCAGAAGCAGTCCTAAAAATATATAAACACCCAACAAAGAATGATAACATCATTACCAACTCGTCACCTTAATACTAACTTCAGTAACAATGAAGAACAAAGGAATGACAACAACAAAGATGAAGAATACCACACTAACTAATAAACTTTGCTAAAGAACTTTGCTTTATTTAAAGAAAATATATAGACCAAACCTTCACTAAAGGTGATTTGTGAAAAATCGAATAAAGCCCTGCTTGATGAAATCAGATAAACAACAGTTTCATCAGTTTCATTAAATTTTCATGATGAACTTGGATAAATTTTCGACAAATTGAACAATTTCCAGTCAAACAATCTCTTACAAGTAGAGCTAGTTTAAATGTTACTCTCTCTGGCATGCGTAGCCAGTGCAGTTCATCTCTAATAAATTGGTAGATAGGATCAAACCTTGATACGCCAGCAACCAGTCTAGCAGCGGTGTTCAAAACTGATTGAACGCGCACGTTTACATTTACATTGCATTTCGATATATATATATATATATATATATATATATATATTATATATATATTATATATATTATATATATTATATATATATATTTTTATAATATATATGCATTTATATAAATAAATATATATATATATATATTATATATTTATATAAATGTACTGTGTACAGTTTGTATACACAACATATGGACGAATATATACGTGTATATCGCCGATCTTTAGGTGTTCTGCCTTAGAACTTAAGTTTAGTTTTAAAAGTTTGAATTGGAAATTCTCTTTCTGGCGACTCTACTACCTTGTTTATTTTTTAATTAAATTATTTATTATTCTTTTTATTTATTTATGACTTAAATTTGTTTTCACGTGTAAGAAATGATATAGTTAAAATATTATTTATGATAAAATATTTTTTGTGCTTTCTCAATTTCGCCAAATCCAAATCATTCATCAGTAGTCATAGTGTGGTTGTGAATTGATTGAGAAATAAAATTGTGAAATTATTTGTGAAATAAATAAATTTAAATAAAATATTAGTATTTATTTAATAAGTAATTGATATATAAAAAAAAACTGCTTCCTTCAAGCTCGGAACGATAATGTCCTTTTTTGAAAAGTTAAAAAATTTGTTCACATCAAGAAGCACTCTGAATGTTGAAGAAAATGCCAAAAAATCAAAAATCTTCCAATACATCAAAAAGGATCAAGATCCTGAAGAAATATGGAAGGTTGTTGGTGAACTTGGTGACGGAGCATTTGGCAAAGTTTTTAAGGTATTGTAGTTTTTTTTTATAAATTTAATTAAGTCTACATTTTTTAAAGTTTTTTTTAACTTTTAATTACTCTTAAATTATTTTTTATGATTATCCCATTAACCTTGCAACTAACATTACTAACTTAATATGAAATATATCATCTTATTTAATAAATTGTTAAAAATAGTAGTACAATAATAATACTTAAAGTGTGCATGTATTTTTTTCTGTATTAAAAATTATTAAAATCATGTTATCAGCATTTTATTACTTTTAAAAAGTTTTTCTTTATCAGTTTATCAGCAGCTAAATTTCTAATTTAAATATTATATTTGACAAAATTCTATATTTTTTAAATAATAAATAGAAATAAAACTCAACTCATTTTTACTTTAAATAATGAAACTACCATGATTTCATTGTTGTCATTACATAAATAATAAATATTAACAGACTATGTAATTATTACATCTCTGCCTTACAGTTTGTAATTTTGGATAATTGTTTGATCAGCAACTATAATTAATAATTACAACATTAATTAGCTGTTAACACACCAAAAACATGCTTAACATGATTTCAGGCTTGTGCTGTCTGTTATTATTATTATTATGATTATTATTATTATTATTATATGCTATCTCTAATTGATTGTTGGGTGTGTTCCCCTTATTTACTTATTTATCATCTCAGTAATTACTCCCTGTGAGATATTTAGTTAAACTTCATGCTGCTTTATCAATATTTTTATCAACTGCTGTAAACATGTGGAAATAGCTTTATTGAAGTTTATTTAGACAAATGTCCAGACAGCATTTTATTTTGTTTTAAAGTTTAACAACCTAATTATTTTGTTGATCATTTAATAGTTTTTTATGTTTGTTGTGTGTCTGGATAATAAAATAATGTATGTAAACTTATTGGGGTGTTTTCCTTTTTATTTTGTGCTTACAGAAAAATAAATAAATAAATGCACTCACATAAGCACAGCTTCACACATACTTGATAATCTGAATATGATGAATTGGTGTCAATAAAAATATATCTTTGAGATGAATGGAATTTAAAGATTTCAGTTTATGTAACTAGGTAATGCAATGTCATTCATTAGTTCTTTGAACATACATGAGATGGTGTGTGTGTGTGTATGTGTGTGTGTGTGTGAGTGAGTGAGTGATGAATGACGATGAAGATGATTTTATGCATTGATTCATCATGCATTGATAAGGTGCAAGCAGGCAGACACTCTTAATTAATCATCCAGCTTATTCATTCATATCACTTCTGATCATTCTTATCAGATTACCTCAGTAATCTTCATTGTCATCACCCCCCATCATCATAAATTCTTTTATTTTTAGTTTCACAATTTTTTTTTTGTTTTATAAACTTTGGATGGTAATTTGATATCGAATATTTAATGTACTAATAAATGAACATCATCCTGGGGTAACATTGTGGCACATAATTTTGCTTGGCCAGTTCCTCCCTGTAAGAATCTTTTCATACATTGAAATAATGACTGTAAAGTAATTGATCCACCATCACCACACCATTGTATAGGCACAACACAAGACCAGAGGAACATTTGCCGCCCTGAAGCAGATGGAGATCAATGATGACAATGATCTGGAGGATTATTCCATTGAGATTGACATTCTGAATGAGTGCAAGCACGAGAACATTGTTGGCATACATGAGGCTTACTACTACAAGAACAAGTTGTGGGTAGGTTCTGTTCTGTATCTGCTTGCTTTCTATAGATATCTCTAATTTAAATGTAAATTTAACAAGTGAACAAGTTCAGTTGTTTTTTAATCATTCAGAAATATTTCAAAGTTAATGTGTTGTACATCTGTTGAACAATGCACCAGAAATAAGTGAAAAATTTTTAACAGATCCCATTTATATTTCAGCAGTCAAATCTTTTGACGGCAACAACATTTGTTTTGCACAATCTTCTTTCTGTCCCATTTCTATACTCATCACTGCCATCACTATCTTCATCATCACGTTATATTCATCGTCATCTTATCGCCACCATTATTGTTATCACCGTAGTTGTACATAGAGTTTTGTTCGGGGGGAGCGGTGGACAGTATAATGGTGGAGCTGGAGAAGCCGCTGACCGAATCTCAGATAAGGTGCTTATGCAAGCAGATGTGCCAGGCCCTCTCTTTCTTACACAAGAACATGATCATCCATCGAGACTTGAAGGCTGGCAATGTCCTCCTCACCTTGGATGCCACCGTCAAAATAGGTCAGTCTGTCGACAACCTGCTCACTTTATTCAGACTAATATTTATAGAAATATTTTTGGTTTTTATAATTTTCTCTTTAGCAAATCTCAGACGCATCAGCAGCAAATAGAGTACATTGAAATACACATGAAACAATCAGCACACAACTTGGGTGTTATATAAATATCATTACAAATAGTTTTATTAATATCTTATACTTTCTATATTACATGTTAGTCGCTTGCTTATTACATTATAATGTCAAACAACCAACCAATTAATTAATTAACAATTCAACCAACCACAGCTGATTTTGGAGTTTCAGCAAAGAACAGCAAGGTAGGCCAGAAAAGAGATTCATTCATCGGCACTCCTTATTGGTCAGAACATTTTTTTGGAATAAATTTGCATAAATTAAAATGAATATGACAGCAACACTAATAATTATAACAATAAGAATATTATAATATAATCATACCAATGATGATGATGGTGATGATGAGTGAGGGTAATTATTAACATAGTAGCATTGTCTCTAATTATATTGCTACAACTGCTCCTAATGTTTAGATAAAAAAATTCTTTTTTTAAATAATTAATAATTTTTTTAAGTAATAATAATAACAATAATAATAATAATGATGATGATGATGATGATGATAAGCTATTTACATTAGCTAAATGTATATGGAAGAAATTGATTTACAATGCAGAATTGCATAGAATATAATAATATATAAAACGTGTAACTGTGGTTGTTGTTGATGTCTCTGTGTTGTTGATGTTGGTGATCATGTTATTACGTTATCACTCTACCATCTAAACCATCCTTATCATCATTGTTATCGTCGTCACATCATCATCGTCGTCATCGTCATCTTCATAGTAGTTGAATGTTTTTCACAGGATGGGTTTTTGTTATTTAATAATTAGTGTTGTTGATGTTGATAATGTTGATGATGTTGAATGATAGAGGCAAATGATGATGGCGGTGATGATGGTCTCGTGGAAGTAATCAGAGTTATAATTAGGACAATGGGTGGTGATGATGATGTCATGGCAGACGATGATGATTTTGAACAAAATTTACATTTGCTAAATTAACATAACATTTATGATGGAATATTAATAAGAGGGATATTTATAGCTGTGGGAAATCATTACTGTCACAATTTTACGATGACGAGACTACGATGATCGTGATGACGACGACGATGATGTAGATTATGATGATGTAGATAATGTGATGATGAAGATGATGATGATGAAGATGGTGATGATGTAGATGATGATGATTATGATTTTGATGAGGATGATGTAGATGATAATGATGTAGATGCCGATGATGACGATGATGACGATGATGAATAGGATGGCTACACTAAAAATGAAAATGTGTCTGCATGAATGATTGTAAGAAATATAAAACTATCTCAATCATTTACTTGTCACCCATTATTTGAAACATACGCCGGTATTAAGATCAATCGATCAACCATTCAATCAATTAATCAATCAATCAATCAAACAGTCAAACAGATCGATCATTCAACCAACCAACCAACCAACCAACCAATCAATCAATCAATGATATAGGATGGCTCCAGAAGTAGTTGTATGTGAAACCATGAAAGACAATCCGTACGATCACAAAGCTGATATTTGGTCACTTGGTTGGTTAAGCTGTCGCTATTTTTGTTTCTGCTGTCGTTGCTGTTGCGGTTGCTGCTGTTGTTGCTGCTGCTGTTGTTGCTGCTGTTGTTACTGTTGTGTTGTTGTGTTGTTGTGTTGTTTTTTCTGCAGTTATTATGGTTAATTTTTTATGCTACCTCACAATTGTGTTCACTTCCAAGCCCCACATTATCTATCTTACTGATGTGTTAATATATGATATGTTATTGTGTCGACATATCATTTACTATGCAGCGCTCATTGTAGCATTGCTAGAAGCGAGATTAAATTAGATTTAGAGATTAACAAAAAGATTAAATGTAAATAAGTAAATATATTAATTAAAAAAGAATTAGATCAAAACACACACACACAATCACGCACACACAGAAACACGCACGCGCACAAACACTTCTGAAGTAAACTCACGAGAAGCGCTATACAAATTCAGCAAAACAGATCAACAATACACACACACACACACACACACACACACACTTACATACACATACGCACGCACACACACACACACACACCTAAACACACCATGCATACATACATGCATGTATACACACTCGCATACGTATAAAAGTTCTGCTATTTTCTGTTAGATGCATGCAATTATGTATTATGCTCAAAATGAATGGTTTACAGAAAAAAAAAATTATTTTTTTTTTCTTTCTAATGCATCTACGCACACACACATTCACACACGCATTCGCACATACATTCAAACGTGCACATTCACACGTGCAGTCACACAGTGTATTCCAATGTTGATGCTTATAATTCTCCAATTAGATAGAATTGATCCTAAGCTTTAATGGTATATAAACCCCGATGAAAAAAGTTTTTAAATGAATTAATTGATTGCTAAGAATTTCAAATTATCTTTCCCCGATATAACATAACGATGTAGGCTGTTTTTTTATGTTTCATTAAAATTTTTTTTAATTTTTAAGCACTCAATAATTTTTTTACTAGCGTGACTGGCTGGTTTTCAATAAAAACAACTTCTGAGAGACTTTTATTTAATTGGTTGTCTAAAATGGTACAGAAAGTATTAGCACACTGAGAATCATTCATAAAACTTTATGAAATAATCATTCTGGATTTATAAACAACTGAAATCATTTTTATTTCATCTAACACGACGTGACGTTTTCAAAACCAGGCAACACGCCATAACCACATTACAGTAGATGCATCACCACACAATGGGACAACACATGGCGATACACCACACAATGACACACCACATGGCGATACACCACACACTGACACACCACACACCGGCACACCACACGCTGACACACCACACGCCGACACGCCACAGCGACACACCACACGGTGACACACCACACACACGGTGACATATTACACGCCCGTCACACGCAACATTCCCCTTGACAGGCATCACCTTGATTGAGTTCGCCCAACTGGAGCCGCCAAATCACGAAATGCATCCAATGAGGGTGCTTCTCAAAATTCAGAAATCTGATCCTCCAACGCTAAGTCAACCTCACAAATGGTTTGTTTTTTTGTTGTTTGTTTGTTTGTTGTTCATTTGTTGTTGTTGTTGTTGTTACTTTAATATTTTAAATGTGCATGTATTTGGTGTTGTTTTTTTGTTGTTAATAATATTGTTTATGGCTTTGCTTTCAAAATTTATGACAACTTTTTTCAGAACTTTTTTCTTTTGAGGCTTCTGTAGTTGTTTTTCATTTGTTTTAATTATCCTTAATCTTGTTAATAATGTAAATGTTATGTCTTTTTGAAAACCTTTGATGTAGCTGTTGTTGCACCTGTTGTCATTTCAATGTTTCCATCATTAAATTTATATCAAATTGTGTGAAAAGGAGGGGCTGGGTCTTCCTGAGTCAATTGCCCTATGACTACATTTCGTGAATTGGTATTCAATTTTGATTGTTGTTTGTGACAGAGGATGTAGAAAGTACCTTGTATGTTGTTGTTTTTGTGCCTGTTGTGTTAGTTGTTGTTCAGTTGACTGCATTCAATTTCACGGTTCTTCCATTTTTATTGTTGATTCGTAGCTGGTTGTATGTTCATTGTAGTTGTTGAGTTGTATGTATTCTTTTGGGATTGTCATGTTTTTCTTCGTGTTCTCCACTCTTTGTGTTTTTGAAGAGGTAATATTTTTACGTAATTTTTTTTAATTCTTCAAATGCTAATTTTAACATTAATAACATTTTCTTAAAAATCACGCCTTTAAACCAGAGTACATATTTTCTATAAACATTCATCTGCAACTACACATAACACGTCAGAGCAATTTTATACTTTAAATAGATCCCTTTCTCTATCTTGATTGATTTATAAACTTTTCGTCAGATAATTTTTTATCTCACGGGCACATTATTTTGATTACATGAAAGGCAATAAAAATTAATTTAGTTAGCGAGTGCTTATTTGTATCTGTAGTGTTTTTTTATTGCTATCTATCAGACCACTTACGCTCCTTAATTAGAAGTTAAAAAGAACTATGCAATACTACGGAATACTATCATATATATCTACGATACTACAGAGTGATATTATATCTATCGACAATACTGCAGAGTGCTCTCACATCTACAATGTATCTACAATGTATCTACAATATATCTACGATGTGTCTATAGTATATCTATCTATTAATACAATACTACAGAGTGTATCTACAATGTATCTACAATGTGTTCACAATGTATCCACAAAACGTCCTACCTCGGGGAACTGGGTCTCTGGACGCTAAACGAAGATTGATTGATTGATAATCAGCAATGTATCTATAATGTATCTACAATGTATCCACAATGTATCCACAATGTATTTCTATGTATCTGCGATGTATCTACAATATATCTACAATGTATCTGCGATGTATCTACAATATATCTACAATGTATCTGCGATGTATCTACAATGTATCTACAATATATCTACAATATATCTACAATGTAATATCTACAATGTATCCACAATGTATCCACAATGTATCTACATTGTGTCTGCGATGTATCTACAGTGTATCAATTAATACAATACTACAGAGTATTTATCTGAAATGCTGGGAGATAGTTTTTATGGCTTGGTGTGGGATTGCATCTTACTGATGTTATTAGTGGCGAGAGATAAGGATTAATAATAATTATTAATTTAGCGTTAGCAATTAAATTGATTTTTTTTTTAAATAAAGTTTTATAAAGTGATAAAAATAAATGATTTTCTTTAATAAATCGATATATATGGAATACTGTTGATGGAGAGTTTTACTGGTTTTTTTTATGTCAGGTATTTTGTTTTTAGTTTGTCAGTTTGTTGGTTTGTTTTTGAATGGTTATTTTAATTTTTTTCGGAAAATATACTCTGTTGAAAATTGGAAGTTATATTTAGCTGATAAATAAATAAATAAATAAATAATAATAATGAATAAATAAACGAAGAGACGAATGAATGAACGAATGAATGAATGAACGAACGAACGAATGAATGGATGAACGAACGAACGAACGAACGGATGAATGGATAAATCGCCAGCCATATCATGGCAACTAACGTTTTAATGATTCACCAACCGCGCAAGCACCACACAGTCAAAGTTATTTTTTCTCATTAAATCAATGTTAACTTCATTTGTAGTCTTATTTATTTTGATCGCTTAGGCGTGTGTGGCTGAGTAAGACTTTGCCGGCCTTTGAAGTTTTTGAAGTTACTAAATAATTTCTTAGCAATCCTTTGATATATTATTAATAAACTATTTAAAATTAAACTTTGATGATGACTATGTATATATGATTATTAATGTGTTGAGTATTGTGAACGTTATTATGGTTGGTAATTTATTTGTGTATGCGTTTGTTGCCGTGTTCTCTGGAAATCACAGTTAAATAACATGCTGTTGTTGAGCTTTTGATACGGCTATAACAGCAAGTGGAACGAAACGCCTCCACCACTGACAACGCGTATAACCACAACTACAACAAACTAACAACACGTATAACAACAACCACAACGTTGAACAACAACACGCCCAGCAACAAACACAGCAAACAACAAAAAACATCAACAACACGAATCAGAAGCAAAATGCACAAAGTGACACAAATATGATATGCTTGATGTAATATCGTTACTGCCATGGCGCAGCATGCAATTAACATCCAGCTAGATTGGCTGGATATGCTGGAATGCATGTGACGGTGGCGTGCGATTGCATGTCGAAGTGACGGTGCTGTCTAGATGACGTCAGTGGGATCATTCATCGTCGTAATGTATTTGTAATGTTACGTCATAAGTTGATATGATACGTTCTTGATGTTAATTTGTATGTGAAGTCGAAGTTGTTGAAGCCAATCAATATCAATATTTATGTTAGTGCCACTGGTGTGGGGGCATGGACCTTGGTGTAATGTTATGTAGAGGTTGGTAAGTATTAGGTGCTTCTCTGCTGATACTGAGGGCAGAGTTATGATAAAAATGATGTAATGGGATGATTTTAAACTGAATTTCTAATGTATTGATGCTCAGTTGTGTATGATTGATTGTATCTTGATGACGGTGAGTTGAATGCTCAAACTTGCAACACACACGCACACACACACGCACACACACACGCACACACACACACACTTACATAGGTCAGCCGAGTTCAATGATTTCCTAACAAAATGTCTTGTCCGAACACCAGAACGAAGATTGGAGGCTGACGAACTGTTGCAGGTTGTTGCTGTGTTGATGTTGTTGCTGTGTTGATGTTGTTGCTGTGTGGATGTTGTTGCTGTGTTGATGTTGTTGCTGTTGCTGTGTCGATGTTGATGTATTTTTTGTTTTTTTTTATGTGGCTAACCTTTGTGGTTTTTCCGCTTAGATTTTTGTTTGAAACATAGATCATTCATTTAACTTTTGTAGCATCGATATTGATCTGTAGCTTCTTGTTTTGAATTTTTCCACTTTGTTGCACGGCCTGCTTGGCTGGTTGTTGTTGTAGTTGCTCCCTTCTGCCAGCTTCCTTAATGCAGTTTATAGTTACGTATTTTACGGTTCATTTCATTAATATCGCAGTGCTTTCACCAATCATCAAACCAAACATGATTTATCTCAGGTTAGAACTGCTTTTAATGTAATTTTGTCATTATTTACCCAGCAAATGTTATTAATTGAAATTGGCAATTAGAAACATTAAAATTTACAGCGACCATAGAGCCTCATTGTTGTTTATTATCATTGCACTCTAATTAATGCAATTAGTGTTGTTGTTGTTTGGCGTAAAGTTATAGAGGAATGTTTATTGGCTCACTCATGTTTTATCCATGCATTCAGTTTATTAATGTTTTACTCGTTCATTCGTTTGTTCATTTCATTCATTTGTTCATTACTTTTTCATTCATACATTTATTCGCCCGGTGATTTATTCTTGGTTATTTCATTCATTCGTTCGTTCGTTCTTTCGTTCATTCATTCATTCATGCATTCGTTTCCTACATTATCTCTTGGCTTCATATGATGTATGTACGAAGATTAGGCTTGTGTCATTGGCTATTGTTTGTCCTATTTTAACATTGGTGATGATGACGACGACGACGATGACGACGACGATAATGATAATAATGATGACGTAACTGATGATGATTAAAACTGACCTGAATTATAATAACTTGGTTTTAATACGTAGCACGCTGACAACATTAACGACCAAAAGTTTTTTTTATCTAAGAGATTACCAACAACGTTGATGATGATGATACTGACGATGATTATGCTGGCGATAATGACGATGATGATGGCAACAAGGACGATATGATGATGATTATGATGATGGTGATAATGATGATGAAGATGATAAAGATGATGATGGTGATGCCTGAGTTGTTAATAATGGTGTTGGCATTGAAATTCTCATTGATGTTTTATTAACACTTGCATAAAGTGTGACGATGATATGATGCTAATGTTCTCATTACAGTTTATTGTTATTATCATAATCGTTATTCATCGTTGTTTGTTAACATTATCACCACCTATTATTCTTCTTATTCTTGCCTTTTTTATTGATTTTGTTAGTGTTTTTCTCTTAGTCTCATTATATTTCATACAGTATTCGCGGTTTGTTATTATTTGTTATTTATATCTGTGGCATTGACATCATAAATTTGCCTGCGTGGCATACATGCATGTGAACTCTGTGAGCTGTTTAACTCCAGGCGCGCCTGCATTATCTACGTCACCAGAGACGTCATCATCACGTCATAGTCATCATCATCGTCGTCATCATCATCATCGTCGTCGTCGTTAGCGTTACTAGCATCACCACACTACCAATATCGTCATACATACGCCATCAACATCATTATATCCATTTATAATTTCATCATTTCATCATTCCTTGAACATGAGCGATGGTAATGTGATTGCACGATGAGATTGAAATATACAATGGACACTCTTCAACGATATATTATCGCTAAAGAGTGTACTCTTTCATTAATTTCTTTACCATCATCTTCATCTTCTTCACCATCATTTTCATCTTCTTCACCATCATTTTCATCTTTTTCACCATCATCTTCATCTTCTTCACCATCATCTTCATCTTTTTCACCATCATTTTCATCTTCTTCACCATCATTTTCATCTTTTTCACCATCATCTTCATCCTCTTCACCATCATCTTCATCTTTTTCATCATCATCATCTTTATCTTCTTCATTCGTCATCATCATCTTCTTCATCTTCATCACGACCAACACAGCATCCCTTCATACGAGACGTGGATGACATGAAGCCGGTGATGGAACTGTTGAGGGAAGCCAAAGCTGACGTCATCGTCGAGGAAAAGGACGTCGATGACGACACCGAACTTACTGTGGGTTCCTATTTTATCAATTATTATTATTCCTATTATTTTTTTTTGTTATTGGTGTTGCGGTTGTTGTTGTTGCGATTGTTGTTGCTGATGTTGTTGATGATGATGCTATCATTAATGATGATGATGTTGCTATAACAGAGGGTTGAATGTGAACTGGCTTCAAACATATTGATTGTTGGTTGGTTGGTTGGTTGGCCAAAGTTTTTGGATTGGTTAATGGTAGTTTATTGGCTGGTCGTTTGATTGGCTGGTGTGGGGTTTGGTTGGTTGGCTGGTCGGTTAAGTCAGTAGTTATTTTATCGGTGAGTTTGATTGGTTGGTTAATCAAATAGCTGATCAGTTGATCGGTTGGCTGGCTGACGAGTTCGTCGGCTGGTGGTAATTCAATATATTTACTTTGTTGTTCCCACTGCTATTTACATTGGCTAGACCTGTTTGCAAAGATTGCTCATTAAGGACAAAAAATATTGACATCATCAACAACAATAATACTAATAATAATAACAACAACAATAACAGCAGTAGCAAACACTCAATAGCTCACATAATGATTAAGTGGTGTATTTCGAGAGGAACATGATGATGACTTATCTCTAGAAAGTAATAAATGTAATACATATGATGATGAATAATGATGAACCTGCAACAACTGCTCGGCTGTAACATTACAAAAATTTGCAATTTCTCATTATGTATGTAATAAATAAACCTAATGATTCAAAGCATTGACATCAGTAGCAATGTTATTGATGTTACTTATGCAGATAGGATTATCATAACCAATTCTCGTAACCTCAGTAAGGGTAGTTAAATGTAGTACCAGCAACTTTAGAAAGATTTGTCCGCTATATAATTAATGATAATGGTTAGATTAGCCATAATTAGTGTTGTAGCCATTACTACATTCATAATATTTTTTTTGTTGACGTTAGGATGATATGAAGCATTCAGCTGACAACATATCCGATGATTCCATTGACGATCAACTTACGGTTAGTAGTCCATACTTTTTGTTTGCTGTTATGTCTATGTTTTATTTTGGTTTAGAAATGCAATTTTTTAAGGGAACGAGAACAAATAATATTAGCACGAAATGAATGTTTGACTAATCTTACATGAGAGCTTCTCCAGTCATGAGTTGATGTTTCAAATAGCGATTGTCTTCTGCGTTGCTAATGAACGCGAACTGAATTCTTAAAATTGACACATGAACTCTAACTTTCACTTCTTATTAATTCCATAACAACCACTTAGCAAAGAAGTGAGCAGTCATCGATTGCACGATGTTGAGCAGGTTGTACAGTACAAGTACACGTACATACACGTACATGTGCACGGGCAACACAGCACACAAGGATGTGAACATATGCGTATGTATGCGTAAACTTGAGCATATGTATGCTCTGCTCAAATATGTACATATGTACACATTTATCTAATCATACACGCTTATGAGAGTCCATAAACTGCATACAAATAAGCATACTTATGTATATATATATTTATTTGTGTTTGTACGGTAAATATGGAAAATAATCGACTGCAGTCCATTTGAATGCGTGTATAATTGATTGCATGAATCCATGTATAAACGAGTGTGCATGCTTGGATGCATTCTTGGATGAATGTGTGCTTGTTTGTGAGCTTTGGTGTATGCGCATGGAGGGTGCATGGATGGGTGCATGGATGGGTGCATGGATGGGTGCATTTGACGTAAAATAATTTCCTGATCCTATGCATCGGACGTATTTTCTCATTGGAGTCACAAAAAATGAAGATGAATGTTTGCATGTAGGGATTGCTTTATTTCAATGTTACCAGCATTAGCTGCCTTCGTTATCTGGCAATTGCTGAATGCGGAATTCTAATAAGTCAGCATTACTGTTTTCATAATAATAATAATAATAATAATAATAATAATAATAATAATAATAATAATAATAATAATAACAACAACAAATAATAATAATGTTTATATTATTTTTATTATCCGTTTTTTTCGTTATTTATACTTATCGTTTCATCTTGGTAATGGTTATTATTACCATCTAAGACAGCGAACGTATCACTTCAATGTATCAAAATGGTCAGATAGAATATGTATGCACATGTGTCATGTATGTATGTATGTTTGTGTTGAAAACTCGCCTGGTCTGCTACAAGCACTCCTAAAGATGAGAATGAAGTTATTCAATTTTGCTCAGTTGTTCATTGCTACTGCATTTGTCTGTTGCTTACGTGCGGGTGAAGTTGTTTCATATTGCAATTCAATGTTTCTCACTCACTACTCAAAATTATTGGAATAGAAATCGCGCCGAAAATCATCAAAAAACAAAACTTCAGTAACTGCTTCTCCAACTTCAAAGTCTTCAAATAGTTTCGTTGCAGCCTCTTCACCAGCAGCCATTTCAACTTCTTCCGTTATTTCAACAACAACAACTACTACTACAATAGTTGCAGCAACAATAGCAACTTCAACAACAGTAACACCAACGACAGCAATAACAACTGCAATAAAAACAACATCATCTCCTTCTCCATCGTCATTATCATCTTCAGTGTTGGCGACGACCACAACAGCAACCTACGCAGCATCAGCGGCAGTTGTTACATCGTGTAATGCAAGTGAGACAACTAGCATAGAATCGGCAACGTATCCACTGAGCCACAGTCTCAAATCAGGAAGTTCTTATGATTCAGCCATACAGTTGAAGTCAGTTTCCTTATCATCACTCAACTCGTTGTCATCGGTAACATTACCGAACAAATTGAAGAGTGATAACATTAATGATGATGAAATAGGCAGTACCGACAACTACATAGACAGACACAGCAGCAACAACAACAACTTGAGCGACAACAGTTTGTACAATGATCGTAGTCTCGATACGCTGAGTAGTAGCAACAACTGCAGCAGCAGTAATAATTCACAATCTTCAGCTGATAAGTGTGATGTCTGCTCTACAGCGTCACCAGCATCATCAACACCAATCTCGTTAATTGCAACACCTACTACTACTGCACAAACAACATCGACAACTGCAGCGACCGCATCAACGTCGGCAACTGCATCATCGCCACTTATCTGCAAGGATGGTGTTGTTAGAAGTGGTTGCAGGAAAGGGAGTTTGGATCATTTTGTCGCTAGAGATGTTGTGGGGAATGATTTGTTATTGAATAACACACCTGCAGCTACTACATCATCACTGTCAGTAACGAGTATTGTAACGCCTGCCGTATTATCGCCAGCAATATCTGCAACAGCACTTGCAACAACTATGACATCAGCAACGACAAACAACCTTTTGATTACACCTTTAGATAACAAATGCTTCGTAATGGAAAATAACAATTCCTTTTATTCATCTGCAGCCAAGCGGTCGTCGTCATTGTCGCCGCGTTCAGCGGCGTCAGAAAACGGTGTTTCACCGCTTATATCATCACATACTTTAACATCATCACATACATTAACATCATCACATACATTAACATCATCACATACATTATCATCACTGCAGCGCACATTGTCAACATCAGCGCAATCATCATTGATGTCATCGCCATCACCAACGACATCATTCATATCTCCAGTTTCTAACATCAACTCTCCTCAGACTATAACAACAACAACAACCACAACGACAATTAAACCAACAACACTATCAAAAACAACATCAGTTAAGTCATCGATTTCAGCAACGTTGACATCAACATCAACACCGTCACAGACATCTGTGTCCGATGCTAGTCAGTTTTTTACTTCAATCGGTAGTTCAGTTACAACCAGTCCCACTGCCAATATATTAACGGTGATAAGTTGTTCACCAACGACACCAGCAGGTTCATCGCTGGCGACAACATCAACAAAATCAACGTCACCGTTATCAGTTGTTGAGAACACCAACGCACTGACCTGTAGAATTGCGTCATCCAGACCTAAGAATGACGACAACAACAACAACAACGACGACGACGACGACGATGATGATAGTTGTGATTACGATATTGTTGACGGTTATGATGACGATGATTTAATTCAGTCGGCTCTGGATTTCTTGGATCAAAATATTAATTATCATTTTGAGAATGACGTCACGATGACGACAGTTAACTGCAGCGGCAAAAATATTAATAATAATAATAACTGTATTTATGATGACGATGTCGAACAGATGAAATGCAGTGACGACGGAAATGACGTTGATGATCGTCTAGTTGAGAACATTGTTGGCAATGTTAATAATGATGATAATAATAATAATAATATTAATGATGATGATGATGGTGATGGTGAAGAGGGTGGGTTGAACGAAATTTCTAGAAAGTTCCTGTTCGAGATTGTTCACTCAGCTACCAAACAGAAGAATATTAAAAATAATAATAAAAATAACCATATGAATAAAAGCTTCAGTAAATACTCCGACGATGAGAATGACGATATAAATGATGAAGATGACGTCTTCGTGGATAATTCAACAAAGACAAACAACTTATACAACGACAGCTACAATGACGACGACGACGACGATGATGACGTTGACATGATCACTGCCCCACCGTCGTCATCATCGACCGCCGTCAAGCCCCACATCAACGGTGACGTCATTTTAAAAATGAACTTAACTAAAAACAGTAGAAACAAATTGTTAAATATGGCTAGAAGTGATGCTAGTGGTAATTGCGATGAAGCTAACCACCACTACCACAATCACCATCACCATCAGATGAGTGAAAAATTTAAATTCAATCATCTGAATGCACATGACGCTTTTCACCCAAAGATTGTGAAAGAAAATGATGGTGATGAGGAAGATGATGATGATGATGATGGGAGGAGGAGGCACATTCCTGGTAACGATAATTGCATCAGTCATAATTATAATTACCAAGCTCATAATAATATTAATAATATCAACAATAACAATGTAAATAAAAATAAAGGCAATAATAATAATAATAATAATAATAGTTTCGAAAATAAATTTCTAAAAAGTCATTATTGCAATGATGGTGATGAATTGCTTGACAATTATAAAGGGGATGATAATAACAATATTATCAGCATCAACAACAACATTAATAACAACAACAACAGCAACAATAATGATAATAATAACTCAAGCCATAATGCCTGCGTGGTTAATAATGTTAAAAAGCCTGAGGTATGTTTATTGATAAGTCCGAGCATTGCTCCATATAGATAGAAGCATGTTATTCATCATGTTATATCGACGCTATTTACCTCGTTACGTTATATCCACGCTTTTTTTTATTAAGGTTTATCCCCTTAATTTTCTACGTTATACCCAGTTATTTTCCTACGTTATATCCGGTTATTTTCCTACGTTATATCCAGATATTTTCCTATGTTATATCAAGATATTTTCTTACGTTATATCCGGATATTTTCTCTCGTTTTATCTAAGTTATTTATCTCGTTATATCGACACTATCACTAGCTCGGGAGCGACCTTGTTATTTATTTCCTTCTTACTTCATATCAGTTCTTGGATAATTATTTTGTTTTTCTTCCAAATTTTTTTTACCTCCAAAACATTCACAACTCTCTACTTTCTGGTGTGGTGTTTGTAATAATATGCGTTGATATATTGGTTTTTTGTTTATTATTATTCGTTATTATTATTCGTTATTATTATTTGTTATTATTATGACTAGCCAGTGTGATTCGGTAATTTGGATGTGGTAGTCTATTTTGTTTCCTACCTCCAAATGTTCTGCTCATATCTCCCTCGGAATGCTAGTTTAATTATTATTAATCTTTGCTTGCTATTTATTTTTCTACTAACATTTTATTGTCACTTCTATTATTATTGTTATTATATTATCACTACCGTTGTTATTATTGTTATTGATTAGTTGAAAAACTACAATTTTTTTTGCCGTTAACATTTTTGTGTGTTTGCTGTGAAGGTAATGTGTCGAACTATTTTCCTGAGATTGTCATATATTTGTATTTTCTTCTTCTTCTTCTTCTTCTTCTTCTTCTTCTTCTTCTTCTTCTTCTTCTTCTTCTTCTTCTTCTTCTTCTTCTTCTTCTTCTTACTACTACTTTTTCTGTTGTCGACGAGCGTCAGTCACGTCGTCGTTCGTGCCAGTGCAGAGAGGAAAGGTTGCAGAGCTCTCTAGATTCCACTGGAGATCATTGTAGAACTTTCTTCGGGGTACATGACGCTGCAAATAGGACAATATTCTGGATTTTTCTTTTTCTACGGATCAGTTTCTGGCATGAGTGTGAAGTTAATTTTTTGTTTTTTTCTCCTTATCACTATAATAACTATTGTTATAAAGTTTTATTGGGCATTTAACTATGTAACGATAACCAAATTTCTCTAATTTCAAATTTGTCGTTTAATTTCGGTTGTAATAAAAGTGTTCATTATTATATTTGTTGTTGTTGATTTTGTTGATGTTGTAGTTGTTGTTGCTGATGTTGTCGTTGTTGATGTTGTCCTTGTTGTTGATGTTGTTGTTGGTGATTTTGTTGTTGTTGATGTTGTTATTTGCGATTTTGTTGTTGTTGATGTTGTTATTGGTGATTTTGTTGTTGTTATTGATGTTGTTGTCTTGTTCATCATTTTTCTTATAATTATGTGCTTCTTCATTGGCAGTAGATGTACATTTTTAGATAGACATTTACTTTGGCATGGTTCATTTGTGTTCATACAATTTTTGAAGGAAAAAATTTTTTAATTTGTTTTTCATGGCACAGGGGTGTTATTTCTTTCAATTTTGATTTGCATTTTTGTTAACTTTTTGCATGGCTGAGTTTTTGTTTTCTTTTTATTGGTTACAATTTTTTAAAGCTTTCATGTTGTTGTTTTGTTGGAATATTGATGTGTATGTTTCAAGATTAAAAAATATAAACAAATAAATAAATAGATAAATATATGTATATTATATTATGAATATATATAATTTATTTACAATTCAAGTATATATATAAATATGGCGTCAAAGTGAAATGATAAATGTTGATTACAATTGAAACGTATTCATAACTTAATAACTTCAGGTTGCCAGCCACAGCAGAAGAAATAAATATTTATTATTCAATATTTTTTTTAAATGATTTCAAAACCTATATTTGACGATTTCAAAATAATTTAAAATACGGTTCGCGGTTTTCTTACTTGTATCGCCATGTTGTGTCACATTAACTAACTATGCGACCTTTAGTTATACAAATGATACAGTTGCTAATTTAACATAATTTAAATGTAGCGAATATAATAACTCTACAATAACCGATGAATGATTAAATATGTTGATAATGTTTTCAAACATTGATGACTTTCACCTTACTGACCCTGACCACAGACGTCAAACCAATCTTTTGAATTCCTCTCCGAATCTTCCTACGATTACTCGGCGTCGACAGTTGCATCGACATCATTGGACAGCTTCATCAGCCAATCAGATCTCAGTGATTCGAACATCCTTTCGTCATTGGTCGAAGATCTGGTTAATGACGTCATATTATCAACTAATCACCAGTTTTCGGCGTCAGGAGTGGTCTGTGATGTCACAACGGAACACATTGAAAAGGGAACTAAAAACGCCTCTGTTTTGGCTGGTGAACTAGAGAAGATACGTGTTAAAAAAGGTTTCATTTATTCGTTCATTCATTTATTCATTTATTATTATTATTATTTGTTGTTGTTATTGTGTTTTCGTTTTTTATGCCTATTAATAATCATCTGACGAGAAATCGATTTAATTGATATGACTTTATTCAATGTTACGTCGTTAATAATAAATTTTCCTTGAAAAAAATTTGTTTTCAATTGACTGCGTTGTTATCTCCTTCCTCATTTTTATGAAAGTTTTAAAAATATCGAAATTTTAGTTATTCAAATTTTTCGTATTCACCGTGTTTTCGAATTTAGAAAACTCCTCCAACGAAAGTCAGAAGCACTTATCGACGATCAGACAGGTTGAAGCTACTATCCCCGCTTTATTTTGTCGTTTCTGATATTTATTTTATTCATTCATTTATTTTTCTTTCATTCAGTCAGTCATTCATTTTTTTATTCACCGGTTTGTTTGTTCAATCATTCATTCTCATTCATTTTTCTAGTTTTAATTTATCTTTATCATTCTTTCATTTATTAATTCGTTTATAAGTTATTCAATGTATCTATATATTTTTAGTATGAATTTAATTAACTTTTTTTACAAAATATTAGTCATATCCCACCAACCACATAGCATCACATCATGACATGATTAAGTATTAAATTTTTTTTTTAACTTTTTCAACTGAAGGAGAAGAAGCCGCAGTACAAGACACTAATGAAGATCCGAAAGTATGAAACTGTTGATGGCCAGAAGCAGGTGTCTGTCAGTTCGAAGATCATCATATCTGGACAGGAGAATAAGAAAGTGAATGACCACAACTTATGGTTAGTGGTGTTATGATGATTTGATGTTGTGATGGTGGTGTAATGTGGTGTGGTGTTGCCGACTGTCATGCTGTGATCAAACATGATGACTTAACGCAATGTGATATGCGGGACAGATAGTGACTTCGATGTTTGCAGCTCTGGGGTGCAGAGAGAGCATCATGAGATGGTCCATGGCAAATATGATGATGATGGTGATGATACAAGATGTAAAATAACTGCTAACTTTTCAATTTTCTGCCCTTCGTAATTGATAGGAAAGCCGACCTGAGGGAGATGAAAATTCTTCAGAAGGTAGAGAATAAGCAGTGTCAGAACCTTGCTGAGAAGCATTCAGCAGCCATTGAACAATTGACGAAGAAATTTGAATCAGATAAATTGGTACATCTTGTTATTATTTCTTGTTGTCAGTGTCGTCGCTTGTGGTTTCTGACTCTTTCGATCGTCAGCGTCTGGATTGGTCCAGGCAATGTTTCATTTGGAAGAAACTTCTTAAAACATTAATTAACAGACTCTTCTGAAAAGCAGTGAAGTTCGCTTGGAGCAGATAGTCAAGAAGCACAAAGTATTGATGGTGAAGATGGAGGCGACACAAGTTAACGAGACCAGGCAGTTCAATAGCAAGATCAAGATGGAACAGGTAGCGATCATTTGTGCTGATCGATTGATATTTTTCAATCAATCAATCAATCGATCGATCGATCGATCGATCAATCAATCAATCAATCAATCAATCAATCAATTAATCAATCAATTAATCAATCAACCAACCAATCAATCAATCATTTCGTCACACTTCATTCATTATTAACACCCTGAACCTCAGACGAAAGAATTGAAAGCATTCAGGGATGGTCTGAAGAACGAGATGAAAAAGTTGAAGGACTCGGTGGGCAGTGAGAGTGACTGCAGCAGTAGCAACAGGGAGAACATGAAGGACCTGCTGAAGAGGAGGAAGGAACAGAAGGAGGCAGAACACGAAGAAAAGGTTTCACCTCTTTATAAATGACATCATCACTCTCATCATCACATCAACATCATCATCACAACGTCATCATAACATCAACGTCATCATCATAACATCTACGTCATCATTATAACATCATCGTCATCATCGTCATCATGACGTCATCGTCGTCATCATGACGTCATCGTCATCAGGACCGCAAGTTCGTGGAGCTGCAGAAGGAAAACTTGGAGAAGGCTACAAAATCCTTGCTGCAGACGCAAAGAAACGCCATGTCGAAACTGGAAAAGATGATGTTGCAGGAAAAACAACATCTACTTAAATGTGTGTGCATGTGTGTGTCAGTATGCGCGCGTGTTTGTGTGTATGTTAAAACTTGTTTAAACAAATGAATAGATGGATGGATGAATGAATGGATGAATGAATGAATGGATGGAGGAATGAATGAATGGATGGAGGAATGAATGAATGAATGAATGAATGAATGAATGAATGAATGAATGAATGAATGAATGAATGAATGAATGAATGAATGAATGAATAACTAGCTTTTTTCAAGCCAAAGCAGACTGTTGGATATCATTTGATCATATCTATCTTTTTGTCTGTTGTTGGGTTGAGTTATTTTTTTTCGCTTGAGGCAATGAAGACGATATTAATTTATGGAAATTTAATTATTTTTTCTTAAAAAGTGAGAGAAGGAGAATTATGGGAGATGGAGGAGAAGCAGATGGAGGAGATGAACAAGCTGGTGAAGATGCAACTGAAGGATTCATTCTTTCTCAAGAGGAACCAGATGATGGACAGACAAGAAAAGGTCTTTTTGATGTTATTATTATTATGTTGCTGTTTTGATGTTGCTGTTTTATTTGGCTGTCGTGAATTGAATTGATACTGAGATGTCGGGGATTATACGGCATTGCTGTATTGATTATGATAACTACAGACATGATAGTAATGATAATGATAGCTACAACACTCCAACAGGAAATGGAATTGTGCCATCGAGCAAACAATCGGCAGAAAGAGGAATTGAACTGTAGTCAGCTGATCGAGAAGAAGAGGTTACCTAAGATCCAGAAGGCTGACTGCAAGACGAGGATTGCCATGTACAGGCAGAGTCTTAAGATCGGATCCATGCCGCCTCTAAATGCCGATGAAGAAAAGGAGAAAATAAAAATGGTCGTTTGCTTCTTTGCTCGTTTGTTCGTTTGTCTATCTGTCTGTCTGTCTGTTCGTTCGTTCGTTTGTTGTTTGCGTTTACTATTTTGTATGTAATTTTCACAGGACTTCTTTTACATCGTCGTACGACTTTGGTAGTCTTGAGTTGAGATGTTTCCTATAGATGACTGATTAACGTCCTCAATAATTTTTTGGCGTCGTTCCTAAATTTTCACATGTTGATTCATGACTGTTCAAACATCGAACTATTAAATTTATTATTCATTTGATTATTATTATTATCATCATTATCATCATCATCATCATTATTATTATTATTATTATTATTATTATTATTATTATTATTATTATTATTATTTATTGCTCGGTCGTGCAGTTCGAGGAGAAGGAGAAGGAGAGGATGAAGGCAGACACGCAGAGGATGTTGGAGAGGCAGAAGAAGCAGAAGGCACAACTGCAGGAGAGGATCAATGCCTCCGTCAAGGAACTCGAGCTCATACAGGTTGCTTCATACTTTTTAATCCTTTTTAAAATTTATTTATTAATTATTATTTCTTCATTTATTTATTTGTTAAAGTTGGTTGATTCTTTTCTTAAAATTTATTTCTTCAGTTACAAAAATTTATATACACTAACAATTCAAAAATCGACAAGTCAGATCGCAATGGGTCCATTCGAAAACTAAATTAATAATTTTTGAAATATTTGTTTAATTGGATTAGATAGTTCATTTAAATTATTATCGCAATTCATATGCATTCAAATTTATACCTCGAAGAACGAGAAGAGGAGGATGTTGATAGACTTTGAGATGCAGAAGATGAAGACGCTGGAGGAAGATTACCATGATGAGGTTCGGAGATGGAAGGCTGAACTTCCTATCAGGAAGAGGGTAAGTTCATCTATCTGGCCGCTCTGTTCTCTGGCTTGTCATTCCCACATGTCTGCTCTGCTCCGTGTTCGTTCTTCTATCTACACCACGTACCCCATTCTGCGCTGCGCCACTTTTTAACATCATATATTCGCTTTGTCTGGCGTCGTTTTCCATTCATTCATTCCATCTGATGATCCGATTGCTATTATTGTTATTAATTAGCTGTGGTAAATTTATTTTCTGTTCTTGTCTACAGAGGCTGGAGCAAGATTTCGCTCAACAGCAGCTTGAACAAGAACGTTTCTACAGCCTCTCTGTCTCTCCCACCATTGCCGTCTCTACAATCAACTCGAGGATACTCAACTCAGATTGATTGATTGATTGAAAAATTGAGTGATTGATTGATTGATTGTTTGGTTGATGGATTGATCGTTTATTGGGTGATTGGCTGATAGATTGATTAAGTTTACTTTTAATCTCAAAACATTTTATTTTAATATTTGTACATTTTGCTAATTTTCATTATTTATTTTGTAAAATTTATTTATTTTTGTTTTTTGACATAATTTTCATTATGTTGATTTAAAATATTCTACTGTATTCTACATCATTTTTATTTTTATAGAATTATTCAACTTATTATCACTACAATTTTAAAGGCGATGATTACTTTGGTGGGAACACGGTCACAACTTGTCCACAATTTGTTCACACTTTGTTCGCAACTTGCTCACTGGTTGTTGACTTCTTCTTTCTACTAAATTTTTTCCACTTGTATTTGCTATTTGAATGGAAATTTGTTTGACTCTTTCAAACCTTCGTCATTGGTAGCATTCAGTGGTTATCTGATTTTTTATTTCTTCATTTAATTCATTAATTACTCAGCCTTTATCACTTGTTTGTATTCCATTTCTTGTTTATGTTCACATATTCTTTATATTCATTTGTTTTTATTTATACTTTACCGTTCATATTCATTTATTTGTTTAAATTTGTTTCTTTGTATATTATTTGTTTCTTTGTATATATATATAGCTCTTCAGCTATAAAGAAGCACGCATAAAATGGAATTAAAAAACTTTCACAACATTAGCTAGGCTTGGGCGTGATGTGATAGCCAGCAAACAAATCGACGGAAGATCTGCCAAGCCGCTTCATCTTTTGACGCTTTGAAGTCTTCTGATTAGCATATATTGTGTGTGTGCGCGCACATGAAATCAAATAATGATCTGTTGTTATATATTTTTTACCATTTTCAATAATTGTGAATATTCCCATTTTGTAATTATTTATTTAAATATTTCAACTTACTGCATGATTCAACGTTGTCGTTTGTTTGCTTGTTTGTTTGGCGATTTAATCACATGACCAACAGTTCATTTATTTTTTAATGCAGTGATGTCTCTTGAACTATCTGTTTGTTTTCTTTTTGTTTGTTTGTCTGTGTATCTGTCTGTCTATTTTTCTGTCTTTCTGTCTGTCTATCTCTGTCTGTCTGTCTTTGTCTGCCTATATGTTAACTCACAACATCTTCTATTACACAATTTATTGCTTCCACATATAGGCTACATTATCATTGTTGTTACTACATTATCATTGTTGTTACTACATTTTAAAACACGCAGCATTTTTAATCATTGTCTAGCAATCACATTGTCTTGTGTACGCATTTAATGTGCACATTAATTCAAAGTAAAGAAGATGAGATTTGATTGTGGAACGTGAGGTCCCGGGTTCAATTCTATGCTGGGTCAGTTTTAGGAGTTCTACCACGGTTCAGTGAAATAATTTCAACAATTTTTAATTTAGAAAAAATTTTGCGAAAAATAAATTTAAAATTTGGTTATATCCCTATACAAAATTATATCCCCATACAAAATAAAAATTATTAACTTGTAATAGTTGTTAAAATTGTTATATATTTGTTGTTTCATTTGGTTATACGTACACAAACGTTCACAAGCGTTCAACTTTATCTTTGGGACTAAATATTTCTTCTATACATTTGTTGTTTTACATTTACGTTAAAATTTTACATCATGACAATATTTATATAATTATTTTTTAACCAACCAATCATTCAATCATTCGTTTATTTATTTATTTTTTATAGAATGGTGATAACATTTGATACATTATGCATACTCACTAAATAAAGTATTTTTGCATACATGGACCATGACCATTCATTCAATGGCTTGTTATGCAACTAAGTAGGTTTACGTTATGTTTAATAATATGCTTCTCCCAATAAGATTAATATTGATGATGATGAGCTGTGCTAGTCTGACACCCATTAAGTTGTGGTGGTTCGTTTCTGTGTTTCATTGTTATGGTTCATTGCTGCAGGCCTATAAAGTAGTTATTTTTATTATTCATGTTAGTAGCTTTTATATTATTTTCACTGATTCTAAGATCTGATAGTGTTTTCTCAACGTATTTTGCGTGCGTGAATTTCAGCAGGTTTGTGTTTTGTTCACATGATGTCATTTATTTCAATCCATTTTCGCGATACTTTCATATTCTAATGAACATTTTTCATCAAACGAAGGCAGATGTTGTATAAACTGATGAATGGTTGTAACATTTGATCATTTTTAAATGTAATGTTCTTCCTTAAGAGTAGGCTAATTATAAGTGATTAAATGTTGTTTTAATAATGTTCACTCTTGTGAAATATGATTGTCTGAATTTATAATTTAATTTAATTGTCGATGTGAATGTGATCTATCCTTTTTACTGCATATTATCGTTATTCTTTCAATCTAGACGTCAGTTGTAAATTATTTTTGACTTGAATTTCTGTGCCATTCCTCGTCAGTTTGTTCTTCCGTGTTTCATTTCTCTCCACGCCATCGTTGATTCTGTTTGTGGGAATTATCTTGAATTTTATTGATCACGATTTTCGTCAGTTTTCGCTGTGAACTGTTTTTCCTTAGAGAAAGTTTTTTCTATTTGTAAATATAACGTCAAAAGCATAAAGCATTTGTATATTGTCAATCTTTCTCTTTTAATGTCAACGTCAAATTAAAACTCACGTTTTCTCCATTACTTGACAAAAAAAACTGAAAATACGATCGACTCTATCAATCACTATCAAATTAAAACTAAAAAAGTTTTTAACAATTATAAAACCAAAGTTTGAATCGTTAATTGATGAGAATATTATTCCAAAGTTTAGGTCGCTATCAGTTCCAGGATGTTTCTTAGGCGGATTTGAAGACAATCATTTTGTCTTCTACTAAATCATTTGCCTCGATTCTATTCCAACATCACTCCTAGCGTAGTTTGTTAATACTGTTTAGCAATTTCTTCAATAGCTGGTCAGCAAAAGCTTACAAACTTCAACTTAACCAAAGTCTAAAAAATTGCTCTGGTTGAATCGCCTGCTGAAGAAACTAGGATAGCAAGGCACATTGCATTGCAGCCAATCAAAAAATAAAGGAGGAAAATAAAACCCTTCTACAGGATTTCATTCAATTGTTCGGATTCGTTTCGCTTCGGTTGGCTTAACCACGAGTAGATTTTGGGTTCGTTTAATCGACTTCAGTTAAGGTTCGGTTTGGTTTACCCCCGTAAAAAGTAGGCTTTCATTCGGGTTTGGCCATGAACGGAATTTGAATTTCGGTTTGGTGTTATAAACCAATGAAATAAAAAAACTTAGATCAGTAGAGATCTGGTCGGATCCGGGAATTTAAAAATTGATGCAATGATTCCCCGTAAATATAGCATTATATGTATATACATGAAAAACACATCCATTAAAACAGATGTTCAGGCCCCTTCAATCTGGCATCCCTTGCATAGAGAGGTACCAGCAATCACCACTGGATACTTTAATCAGAGAGTGTTAATGTGGCCATGTGTAAGAATAACGTTGAAACACTGGCGTTAAACGATCTTTCGCCTTGTCAACCAGTACGTGTAATCTAGTGGTTATCATTTTTATTACTTCATTCATTCGTAAGTTTGACCACTCAGACAACCCGGAAAAATGCAAATCATGGATTTTCTTTCAAAAATTCTGTAATTTTTTTCCATAATCATAAGTAACTGTATAATATTAAATATCGAAAAACAAAATGCGCCCCCATTAGTAATCTTTCAAAAATGTCCGTGTTTTTTTAAATTTGTATTCTTCTCGTAATTTTGTTCTCTTTACTTCAGCCTAATAAATTTATTTGTCGGTGAGCCATTTTTAGTCTTCAAAAAGTATATAATTTTGTTATTTTATTTTTTGTAGATTTATTAAACGCATTAAATATATTAATTATAATTTTTTTAGTTAACTTGATTGAATTGTTCAATTGTTGAATGCTAAGTTTTTGCTACATAGTTTTTCAAACTTATTTTCAAATAATTCTTAAAATATTTGTTTCAATTATAACAATTTTTTTTGAGCTAAGTATTGAATAAATAAAGAAAAGTTGTAAAATGTGTATTGTATTATAATACAGTGAAAGAGTGAACAGTGAAGTAAAGCAAAGTAACTCTGTATTGTAGTACAGTAGTAAAGTGTAGTAAATTATATTTTATTTTATAATTATAATTAAAAGCTAAGCTATAAATTATAAATAAGAGTTTAAAGTTTTGAAAAAGACTACTGTGAGTATTTATAATAAATATCTATCTGTATCTATCTCTCATCTGTCATTTATCAAACAAAAAGTTAAAGTTTTTAATTAAGAGGACACTAATTGCAAATTGAAAAATGTAAAAAAAGCCTATTTTATAAAATAAGCTGTTGAAAATTCATGGTTTAGCCACCATGCTGAATAATAAGTAAGAATAATACTTCTCAAATTACACACAAATAAGGGTTTTTTTAATTATGATATTTTGTAATTAGGACTTATTCATTAATTAAATTAAATTAAAATATACTTTGCCATACCAATTTACAACGGAACTGTGCTATGCTGTAGTACTTAATTATTAATAAAGTTGAGCAGAATATTTACTGGATATTTTGTTGAGTTATTGATTTCAAATTAAAAACCAACAGCAAGTACATGATGACAAAACTAGTGTTGAATTGTCTAGGGAAAATTAAAAAAACTTATTCTGTGGTATTCTGTAGCATTAGATTATTAAGATAACTTTTCAAATTGTAAGTTAATGGGCAAAATGTTATTATGTTAATTATATATTTATGTTAAATTTGGATGGTTAACATGGTTATTCCAATTGAAAAATTATTTGTCTCAAATTTGATTTGTTTCTTTTTTGCATGTATTGCTTGCTATTATTGCTATTTAAATATTTCACCAATTGAGTTAATTAGTTATGTAAAGTGAAAAAATTATAATTCAAATACGATGTTATTTTTATTTTTTATAAATTATTACTTTTTTAATGAAATAGTAAATAGTCTCATCACAATTTAAACATGATGACTGGCAGCATAAAACAGCAGTCACCATCCCTACAATGCA